CATTTTCAGGCAAGAATCATCAATGGATTAAGAATAGTAGCTGAGCCCTGGCTGGTGTGACTCAGTGGACTGAGCACCAGCCTGCAAAGCAAATGGGCACCAGTTCAATTGCCAGTCAGGACATATGCCTGGGTTGCAGGCCAGGTAGGGGGTGTGTGAGGAGCAACCACACATTGATGTTTCCCTCCCTCTCTTTCTCTCTCCCTCCCCCTCTCCCTAAAAATAAATAAGTAAATAATTTTTTTAAAGAAAGAATTATTTATTTTTAAAAAAGGTTAGGTAAAATTAGAATGAGAAACAAGGAATTTACATAGATTTAAAGTATTTCTCCATAATACACATTTATCATAACAGAAAAAATAGTGGAGACGCCACAGTAATCAACTGCCTAAGTTAACACTCTAATAATGAAACAAATGGCTTCATGGATTTCCTGATATGGAGCACTGAAAACATCATTTTGGGGGTATTCTTGCCTCAAATGCATAATCAGAATTAAATCATGAGGAAGCATCAGACAATCTCAATTTGAGGAACATTCTCCATGGCAAAATTTACAAAATAAATGGCATGCTCTCTTCAAGTGTCAAGGTCAGTAAAGACAAAGAAAGACTGAGGAACTGTGCCAGATCAAAAAGACTAAGGAGACTTACTAAGGCAACATATGATTGCGGATTGGATCCTTATCCAGAAAAAGAACATTGAGACATTGATCTCCTGGTTTTGATCATGTACTGTGATTATGTAAGATGTTAACATACGGAGAAGCTAGGTGAAAAGCATGTGGGAATTCTATTTTTTTTTTGCAACAGTTTTAAGTCTAAAACTAATTTAAAATGAAAAGTTAAAAAAATTTTTTTAAATGAACAATTAGGTGTGCAGAGAGCAGGGAGGGCCTTTCAGTTCACCTCCAGGGAACCCAGTAATTTACTTCAATGGCACCTACTGGAAACCAGATCATGTTGGCAGAAGGGAGGATGATGGTGTTAGGTGGATTGAGTGCTGGCCTGCAAACCAAAGGGTCACCTGTTTGATTCCCAGTTAGGGCACATGTCTGGGTTTCGAGACAAATCCCCAGTAGGGGGCAAGGCAATCCTCACGTTGGCTGCCCAGAGGCAACCGTACATTGATGTTTCTCTCCCTCTCTTTCTCCCCTCCTTTCCCTCAAAAAAGAAGGAAAGAAAAGCACATCTTTAAAAAAAAAAAAAAGAATTTTAGGGACATTAGAAGAAAACCTGATACACCCTGAACTTGGCTTTCAGATGTTCAACAGCAATTCTTTCCTTCTCTGAACATCTCTCTTGGAGGATAGTCAAGAAAAAGCAATAATGGACTTCCAGTCAAGAGGGAGGCATAGGTAGATACACTGTGCCTCCTCACACAACCAAAAGAAGGACAACAACAATTTAAAAACAAAAAACAACCAGAACTGACAGAAAACTGAACTGTATGGAAGTCTGACAATGAGGAGTTAAAGAAGAAACATTCATCCAGACTGGTAGGAGGGCTGTAGATGGGCAGCAGGGCAGAGAGGACTGCAGCAAGGTAGCTGCTGGAGGACTGGGCAGGCAAGGCGGTGGCTGGCGGGTGGGGCTGGGCAAGGTGGTGGCTTGCAGATTGGGTAGTCCCACATTCACATGCAGAAAACCAGGAGGAACAACTGGGGAGCAAGACAGACCACGCAACCCAGACAGAGTTCCAGCACGGGGAAATAAAGTCAAAATCTCTGACTGAAAACACCCATGGAGGTTGCAGCGGCAGTGGGAGAAACTCCCAGCCTCACAGGGGAGTTTGTTGGAGAGACCCACAGCGTCCTAGAATGTACACAAACCCACCCACCCGGGAATCAGCACCAGAATGGCCCAATTTGCTTGTGGGTAGCAGAGGAGTGACTGAAAACCAGCAGAGAGTTGAGCAAGCGGCACTATTCCCTCTTGGACCCCTCCCCCACATACAGCTCACAATGCAGTGATGTGGGTTGCCCTGCCATGGTGAACACCTAAGGCTCCGACCCCTTACTACGTAACAGGCATGCCCAGACAGGGAAAAATGTCCCAAGTGAAAGAACAGTTCCAAGCTCCAGAAAAAAATACAGCTAATCAACAAAGAGACAGCCAACCTATCAGATGCACAGTTCAAAACACTGGTTATCAGGATGCTCCAGTAACTCACTGGGTACTTCAATAGCATAAAAAAGACCCAGACAGCAATGAAGGTTGAATTATGTGAAATAAAGAAAAATCTACAGGGAACCAACAGTGACAGGAAGGAAATCAGGACTCAAATCAACGATTTGGAGCAGAAGGAAGAAATAAACATTCAACCAGAACAGAATGAAGAAACAAGAACTCGCCCTGGCTGGCGTAGCTCAGTGGATTGAGCGCGGGCTGTGAACCAAAGTGTCACAGGTTCGATTCCCAGCCAGGGTACATGCCTGGGTTGCAAACTATAACCCCCAGCAACCACACACTGTTGTTTCTCTCTCTCTCTCTCTCTCTCTGTCCCCACCCCCTCCCTTCCCTCTCTAAAAATAAATAAATAAAATCTTAAAAAAAAAAAAAAGAAACAAGAACTCAGAAAAATGAGGAGAGGCTTAGGAACCTCCAGGACATCTTTAAATGTTCCAACATCTGAGTCATAGGGGTGCCAGAAGGAGAAGACCAAGAAATTGAAAACTTATTTGAAAACATAATGAAGGAGAACTTCCCCAATCTGACAAAGGAGATAGATTTCTAGGAAGTCCAGGAAGCTCAAAGAGTCCCAAAGAAGCACACACCAAGGCACATCATAATTACATTAGGATTAAGGATAAGGAAAGAACCTTAAAAGCAGCAAGAAAAAAGGAGACAGTTACTTACAAAGGAGTTCCCATTAGACTATCAGTTGATTTCTCAAAAAAAACAAAAAAACTTTGTGGGCAAGAAGGGGCTGGCAAGAAGTATTTGAAGTCATGAAACACAAGGATCTATATCCAAGATTACTCTCTCCAGCAAAGCTCTCATTTAGAATGGAAGAGCAGATAAAGTGCTTCCCAAATAAGGTCAAGTTAAAAGAGTTTATCATCACCAAGCCACTATTATATAAAATATTAAAGGGACATATCTTGGAAAAAGATTAAAAATATGAACAGTAAAATGACAACAAACTCACAGCTATTAACTGAACCTAAAAAAAAAGACAAAAACAAACTAAGCAAACAACTAGAACAGGAATAGAATCACAGAAATGGAGATAACATGGAGGATTACCAGTGGGGGAGTTGGTCGGGGAGAGAGGGCGAAAAGGTACAGAGAATAAGTAGCATAAATGGTAGGTAGAAAATAGACAGGGAGAGGCTAAGAATAGTATAGGAAATGGAGAAGCCAAAGAACTTATATATGTATGATCCATGGACATGAACTAAAGGGGGGGGGGGATGTGGGTGAGAGGGGGTGTGCACAGCGGAGGGGAATAAAGGGGGGAAATGGGACAACTGTAACAACATAATCAATAAAATATATTTTTATGAAAAAAGGAATAAGGACGGACCAAGATGTTTTTGAAGAGTCAACTCCCTACTTCCCACACAGGAGAGAGGTCAGGGAAGACTTGCCACTCTGCCCAATCCCAGTGTTACAGTTTAAGGCTGAGGTTCTCACTGCCTAGGGCCACAATCTGTCCTAATTTCAAAGGTTTGGCAGTGATTAGAGCACCGGAGTCACAGATACCTCACATTCATACACTTGGTGCTGCACAAATGGTCAGTGTCACACAAACACAACCATACATCCACTCCTGAGACACACAGGACACAATCACACTAATCATAGATTCCTCCACACACTTATACACAGTCATAATCTCACATCTACTAAAAAGACACACAGTCACAAAACCTCACCACCAAGACAGACGAAATCCCTGTCATATAATCACAGACTCCCTACACCAACACTCACAAATGCTCCACACAGACACATCACATGCCTACTTAGAGGACACACACATATACTGACACTACTCTGGCCAACTCAATGTTAACCAGTCACAATTCAACATTCACTCTGGAGACACATAGCTACACCCACACAGGCAAAGACGTACCACTCCCGCACAATACAACTGGGATGTATACCGCAGTGTCACTACACCGTCACAGAGACACAATTGCCCATGGTACCACACAAGGTCATAACACCACGCAACCATACATTCACCTCGGAAACATGTTATCATAACCCAGATACTCACGCCCATCGCACAGTTACCACTATACTCACAACTCCAAGGACAAGGGGTGTGGTCATACGTACACAACAGGGACACAGGCAGTATTACCCCCAGACACAAGACTCTCCCCCTCCCCCCAATCCAACACAGTATCACACGTGGTTACAAAAAACCCAACCAGACACACACCCTGGAAACAGGAGATCACAACCGCACACTCACAGGCACCCAACGACAGCCACAAAGATTCACTCAAAGTCGGCATCCTCTGCCCTCTACAGCCAGCAAGCAGACCCGAAACTCTGGACGCCCCATTCCCGCTTGAGATTTCCAGACCCCTTACCTTGTGCCTCCCCTTACTCCCGTCCGGGTCCTTGCGGAGACAGCAATCTCGCGACCACTAGGAGAAATGTAACGTCGTGCCCCTGTTGACTCTGGGAAACGTAGTTCAGATCCCGACCAGCCAGACAAGATGGCGTCCTCGTATTTCCCAATTTGAGCTTGGTTCGTTTGACGCCGTTTTCGGGAGTCTTCAAAGAGGGAGTCCCCACTCCAAACCTCTCCAGGCCTGATCGGAACTTCCTCCAAGGTAGGACTACTCATCCCGAAAGCGCCACAATCTCAGGAAAAGGCAGTCAAGTTCGCGTAGGAGAGACAGAGTGTCGACTAGCAAAGACATAAGGGAAATGTAGTCCAAGGCCAGAAAAACTGCAGTGCTGCTGATAGTAGGTAATCAGACACCACCGTGGACTAGGCCGGGTGGACTTTGCGTGCTGAGTCGCGGAGACTTGTGGGATTGCTCAGTAGCCCTCCGAATGCGCAGGCGCAGCGCACCGAGTGGACATTTTGGTCTTTGTCTGCTGGTCAGTCGGTCCGTGGGTCCACGTGGCGCGAAAGTTGGAGGTGGGATGTGGGTGTCTTGGTCCGGTTGGGTTCGGGAGGTAGAAGGGGAGAATTCCAGATCTTTTGGGATGCGGCTCGGGGGCGGGGGGAGTGGGTTTAAGAGCTTCTGGCCTACGTGTGGGGTCGAATTAGCGGCCTTTAAAGAGGGTTCGAGCATGTGTGATTTTCAGTTTTACCGATGTTTGAAGTTATTGAGTGAGAAACTGAGTGCAGTATTGTGTATGGCTGTAGTTGAGAGGGAGCTATAGGAGACCAGCATTGAGGTAAATTACATTTGAGACGCACTTCCCTTGTCGAAAGTGCCGATGACGGTGCCATCTTCCTAGAGTATCAATTTCACATGAAGATTTGAAGGGGGGTAGGTAAATTGTAAATAATTTTTAAATGGAGTTTTATATAAAAGCACCTTTCTTTTTAATTGCGGTAGAATGCAAATCACCATGATTTCTTTCTCTTTTTTAAAACCATGAATGGTTAAAAGGAGTTTTTTAAAAAATTTTTTTAGAGATAGGAAGGGAGGGAGAAACGAGAGACATTAATGTGTGGTTGCGTCTCGCAGGCCGCTTACTGAGGACGCTGCTCGCAACTATGGCACGTGCCCTGACTGGAAATGAACCCAGGACCCTTTGGTTCATAGGCTGGCGCTCAATCCACTGAGCCACCTAAGCCAGGGCTCAATTTTTTGTTTGAGAGAGCCTGCCTCAGACGATTTCAGATCCCCTGATCTTTTGGGTTACTTAAATAGGGCTGCTAAGTCCTAGACTAATTATCAGCCTTACACTTTGAGAAGCAGTGTCATACAGCGCAGCAAGCCCAGAATTAGGGAGTCCAGTGTTAACTTTTGTTCTTTCTGTTGCCATCTTTATTTAAGAGTCTGGACTAGATTCTGGATGAATAGAGGTATTCTCAGATTGTGTGGATTTTGTGAAGTAATGAAGAAAATTCGTGTCTGCAAAGGTGCTTTTTGCAAGGAATCCAACCACAGTTATCCTTCATAATTTTTAATAATTATGTTGTTAAAGTTATGTAAAGTTCTTGGGTTTCAAATTTAGATGAGATCCGGCGCTCTCAGGGTGGTGTGGCCATAGACTCCAAATTTGAATAGACAAACAACAGAAGTTAGAAAACATAATAGAAGAAAACTAGTATTTACAAGAGCAATAAATATTGAGGAATAAACTTAAATTGGCAAAACTAATAGAAAATAACTTTAAAGTACTAAGGGACAGTGTTAACATAAGATATGAACAAATAGAAATACCATGTTTTTCAATAGGAAGATGTAAAGAAGTGTGTGCAAACTTGAGTAAATTTATTAATTTAATGTGTTTTTGATAAAAATATCTACAGTTTTTCTCCCTTTGGAATTAGATAAACTGATTCTGCACTTCAGATGGAAAAATAGACAAGCTAGAATGGCAAGTAAAACTGAGAAAGGAAAGCAGTTGTGTGCATGGAAGTGGGAGCCACTGGTGACATTTGAAAATATAAATCCTTGGAAATTAACATAGTATTAGCATGAAGCTGGCCTAGGAATGGCAGTTTGGCAATATCTATATGACTACAAGTTTGTGGGGGGGGGTTGTTTGTTTGTTTGTTTGTTTGTTTTTGGAGCTATTTCATACCTGGAAATTAATCCTACAAGTGTACCTGCATTTGCATGGAATAACACAGGTACAAAGTTGCTGGTTGGATTAGTGTTAGGAATAAGAAAAAAATAGAAACAATTCTTGGCCATCATTCAGAGACTGCTTGGATAAAATTATAGTACATCTATGTAACAATAATATGCAACTATACAAAAGAATGAAAAGGAAGCTTTTTATGTACTGACACTTGAAGTAACTCCATAAAAAAATAAAAAAGCAAGAATGCAGAATGTATGATGATATGCTTCATTTGGAGTAAGAAAAGGGAGAAATAAGAAAAGTGGCTATCTTTGGTAAGGGTAGTGGTACAGGGATAGGTAGGGCAAAAGCAAATACCTTTTTATGTTTGTTTTTAACTATCTGAACTTAGTATATATTCAGTAGTGTTTGTTTGTTTTTTTAAAAGGAGGAAATAGGCCCTGGAGGAAGACTGCTTCTGTTAACTCCTTCGTCACCTTGTACTTTGGTGACCTTAGGCAGTCACTTAAACCTTGTGCCTCAGTTTTTTATCTAGTAATATAGAGAAAATGCTTGATTTACAGGGTGGTTGTACAGATCATGGAGTTCTAAATTCTGTAGAATAGTGCCTGGTATGTAGCAAGTACGGATAAATGTTAGTACTGTTATTACTATCTACAAAATAATACTTTCTCAGAAATAGTACAGCCATTCTTACTGTTTCTGTTAGAGGTTTCTGAAAGAGGCTCTTTCCATTTTTAAATACTTTTGGGTGGGGGACATTTCTCTTTACAACTGGAATGAGGAAGTTAGCTTTCTGTATTTGTTACATTCATCTTAGAAACTCATCACCACTACCTTCATGAAGTTCTTTGATTTCTATGATGGTTACTTTATTGTGGTTCTAATTCAGAACCTCTGATGATATTTTTAAAAAATCTCAATTGTGACCTTTGTAAGATGATCTTCAAATTGCATAATATCAGTAGAAACATACTGCGTGACTTGGCCACCGTTAATTGTATTTTTCCTTTTGTGCAAAAGTGTAATGTGTATGGTTTTACTTTGGTACCATACAAATGTCCATTCCCCACTAATCATTGAATGGATTGTTTTAATACCAATAAATAATTCTTGGCTAGTTGATAGCCAAAGGGTTACAAAGTGATAACTTTCTATTTTTTCATTCCTTTGATATTTATTTGCCACCTCAAATTGTTTCAAAGTTTTCCTGCCTTTTTCTTCTTTAAGCTTCATTTTAAAGTTGAGTTCTGGTAACTGCAGCTAGTGTTCTTTGCAACACTCATTCATCACATTTTTAGCTTAGGGACTCTCTTTCAAGTTGACTTGTTTCATTTTGACGTGCCATCATTTAACTTTGAGAGCTTTTTTACACTCTAGGCCCATGTTGTACTTTCCCTCCCAGACAAGAAAAAGGCCGTGTCTCCAAGGAGCTCTGGTTTCTTTTACTGCAGAATGGTATTAAGAGCAAGACTGGGTACTGGATGTTTTCATTGCTGCAGGGGTAACATTATTTCAAGGCCATTTCAGTGACAGCTAGGAAGTTGATTTTTAAAAATCACGAGTTCATACTAGTATTTCTAATTCAGTATAAATAGTACAGTATTTTTACCTAATTAGCACCTAGCTATAGCTGTGTTTTATAGTAAAAATTCGGAAACAAGTTAACATAAGTACTTAATTTTCTTAGCTTTGTCCTGCAACATAAAAAAGTTTTTAAAATACTGCTGATATTAATAGTAAATATAAACACTGTATTATATGAGAAACTTCACTGTACCTATTTTTGTGGTTAGACAGCATAGTACTAAAGATGTGTAGTCAAGTTCTCTGTTCTTAAGTCATTTGAGATAAATCCTTTTTTTGAGGAAAAAAGGATTTTTTTTCCTCAAAAAATCCAGTTGGGTTCATTTGTTTCTATTTGTTTTCAAGTTCAAGGACTGCTTTTTAGAAAATTAATTTGATTATTTAGAAAAGTAATGCATTTCTGACTTACCAAAATATATTTAGAGACTTCTTGTCTCATTCTGCTCCCCTTCCCTATCACATTCTTCAAGTATTTTTACTTGTTTATCAAGTAGGTTTTTTGTTTGTTGGGCCACTGGTGTATATTTCTTTTTCTCTCATTTACCCCACTCTCCTTACATTAAAGGTAGCATACTATATACATCCCTTGCTGACTTTCTTCACTGAACAGTTTGTCCTGGAGATCTCCTTTCTTAATCATTATTTTTTTTTTTTAACTGCTGAATAAATGTTACTGTGTGCATGTACCATAATTTCATTCTATTGTTGGACACTTGGGTTATTTCCAATCTTTTGCTGTTAGTAGCTGCGATAATGAGTAATTTCTTTTTTATCTGTGTCATTTTGTCCTTAATGCAGAGGTATCTCTAAAATAGATTGGTACAAGTGGAGTTGCCCTTGTTACTAAGTATTTAATACTCCCATTAGCACTTAGAGTACAAGAGCACCTGTTTTCTCACAACTTTACCATCAGAATATAGTATTGAATAGTTGATTTTTGGGGGGGAGGCAAAGGCATAAATAAAAATTGGTATCTCATTCTAGGTTTAATTTATATTCCTCATTATGAGTGAGGTTGAACATCTTCTATGTGTTTGAGGGTCACATGTTTTTATCTGAGAACTGTTTGTTCATATCTCATTTCTCATTTTTCTTTGGGGGTTCCTTTTCCTTCTAAGACCTGTTAAATTACATTAAAGAGTTTAGGTCTTTGTGAAATGAGTTGCAATTGTTTTTCAAGTTGTAAATTTGTGTTTTGATATTGTTTGGTGGTCATCTCTTAACAGTACAGAATCTGGAAGTTTTTATTTTTATATAGTTAGATTTGTTAGTTTTTTCATTTATGGTCATAGCATGCCTTTCCCATTCCAAATTCAGCTGTACTTTCAAATCCTTACAAGGCTGTAATTTTTATAGGGTTTCGTTTTCATATTCATATTTTTAATTCATTTAGAGTTTATCCTGGTATATAGTATTAGGTGTGTATCCAGATTTATCTTTTTCTAATTGGCTACCCATTTCTTCCAACACCGTTTATTTAAGATGTTAATTATTTTAAGACTACATTTTGATCATATATTAAATTCTATGTGTATTTAGTTTATTTCTAGACTTCATATCCTCCATCTTCCAAGCTATATTTGTGTACCAATATTTATGTCTTTATTTTTAAGAAATCCTCACCTAAGGATGTTTATTGATTTTAGAGAGAGAAGAAGGGGGGGGGAGGAGACATTGATCAGTTGCCTCTTGTACATGCCCCAACAGGGGATCGAAGCTGCAACCTAGGTATGTGCCTTGACTGGAAATTAAACCCTCAATCTTTCGTGCACAGGTCAATGCTCT